GAGTCACGTGTTTTGCGATTTAGGCACTATGATCTTTGCAACTGGTCAGATTTATGTCGCTTTAAGCAGGTGCAAGACTCTTGAGGGACTTTATTTGGTAAACATAGATGAGTCCCGGATTAAAGTTGACCATCTAGCTATCAATGAATATGTCCGACTGAAGAGTAAGCCAATTATAGCAGCAGGTATAAATTTCATGACTGATGGTCAGCCAGATTCGAGCAAAAAAGGCAAGAAAAGAAAGCCGAAGAAAAAGACGGAACGCATCTGGTACGAAACTGACGCAGCAAAAAAAGCAAAGGCGACCTTCGACGATATTTTGAAGAATCACACAGATGACCAAACAAAAGCTTCTAAGAAAAAGCAGTCCACCAAATCAAAGAAAAAGAAGCCAACTGCTGAGAGGAACTCCAATTTATCTGCAGCTAACATCAGCACACACATAAATCAAATTCACGCTGGAATTCCTGACGAATTTATTCCAACTGCTGATATTGTGAGCGGCTCAGAAATGATGGAGGTATACAGGAGAGCTCTGGTACCCTGTTTTAGAGCCAACTCCCCAAACAGCTTCATTTTGAGATCTGCTTTAGAGTTGGACCCCGACCCATTCAACTGTAGACAGTCCCGTGATCTCTGGTTGACCGGGTCTACCATTGCAAAGTATATTGCGGTGATCAAAGATGGTTTGGCTGAGGACGCGGGTCCAACTCTGTACAGTATGGGACCTTACTGTGGTGCTTATCGGAGTGTGCGTGGGCGTCGCCGTCAATCTGGATTGCTTGAAGATTTCATAAGGAACACATTTGCCGAGAGGCCGTTCACTCGACTTAGGTATAGTAAATTTGACGTTTTTGTCTATTAATTCTTTGACACTTTTGTCCATTTATTTCGTAATTATAGCAACGACTGTTCTTGTGTTGGTAAATTGACTGATAAAAAGTGTAAGGTATGCAAAAATCGAATGCAATTCCTAAACCTATATATTTCAGGACAGTTCAAAGTTCTCCCCTTCACTCCTAGGGATCACTTAATACAATACGGAGATCCGATGACGTATGATATAATTGCTATGGTCGGCAACCCTGGTAATCATTGGTATACGGTCATCATCGACAACAGAAATCGACAGGTATGCTTTATTCAAAATATAATATAAAATCAATTTAAACTGAGAAGCTTTTGCGATTGGTCTTATCAGGCACGTAGCCAGGGGGGGGGGGGGGGGATTGAACCCCAGAAAAAAATAAGCCCCCTAGTACCCATGGTCGCCTGGTAACTGGGCTGTGTTTATGACTGCAGTCTGCTTTTTAAAAATATACAAAATCAATTTAAACTGAGAAGATCTTACGATTAGTATGACAGCAATCTTAAAATATCTCAGCGTTTATCGGTATTAATCGTGTTTCTTGTACAGGTTCTGCACTTTGACTCCCAAAATTGCTCAACCGTAACCATGAAAGATCGTTGCCACTCACATTTAAGGCTACTTAAAGACTTCCGACAATACCAGAGGTGAGTTTAACGTTTAACACAAATGAAATATAAGTCAAAGTGTTATATTTGCTAGTCACAATTTATTGTTACTGTTAGAATGGGCATTTCTTTGTTCACACTGATAGTCTAAAATCGCACATTATTTTCAGAGACAAGCTACCTATTGTTGTCAATGGAGATTTGAATACTGATGACTATACATTTGTTGATGGTCAATCCAGTATTCAAAGAAATGGTTATGACTGTGGTGTCTTCTCTCTGATGAACATCGAAAAATATATAACTGCCAGACCATTCAATCATCCTATAGTACAACCTTTGATGAAACTATTTAGACTTAGAATATTAGCAAAACTTTATCACCAAAGTGTCATATCAGGATTAGGGGGTTAAATGTTCTCAGAAGATGGAATCATTTTTTCACCTTATCTGCCTTTAATGATATCATGTAAGATGGGCTGCTTGTGATAGCGTAATGCCTCTCTCGGCTCGCAGTCTGTCAATTGTTCTTATTATGGAAAATTTCTGGCAACTAAAAATGTTGTAATTTGTGTCGGAGCAAATTGATATCAATTTACGATTTTGATGCTATATCTGCCTTTAATGATATCATGTAAGATGGGCTGCTTGTGATAGCGTAATGCCTCTCTCGGCTCGCAGTCTGTCATTTATTCTTATTATGGAAAGTTTCTGGCAACTAAAAATGTTTTAATTTGTTTCGGAGCAAATTGATATCAATTTACGATTTTGATGTATTAATTCTTCGTGCAATTTGTTGTTATTTACTGTTATTATGTAATATTATGTTGATGTTTGTTTTGATTTATTTGTTTATATTTGTGATGTTTTAAATTATTTCTTGTTGTTGAATTTTGCATAAGTAATATTTCTTGGTGTTCAGTAATCTTTTAGAATATTTTGTGATTATTATTTCGTATTTAAATTTGTTTATAACGTTACAGAAGGTATTTATTTAATGTAGTTCAAGGAGCCCTAACTCGCAGCCTACGATGGCGCCTCTTTGTGTTTCACTCAGATCACGGCCTGCTATATTGTTAATTGTAGTTATTTCACAATGCTGGCAAGCATGACCGCCGCTCTTATATTCACAATACTATTTACCCCCTTTACTATTTACCCCCTTTACTATTTACCCCCTTTACTATTTACCCCTTTTACTATTTACCCCCTTTACTATTTACCCCCTTTACTATTTACCCCCTTTACTATTTACCCCCTTTACTATTTACCCCCTTTACTATTTACCCCCTTTACTATTTACCCCCTTTACTATTTACCCCCCTTACTGTTTACCCCCATTGTAATTCGATGTTAAAGATGACAGGAATAAAAAATAGTTGTGTGGAGGTTCTTAAGAAATTTGCGCAAAATACGCGCCAGCATGTTATACGAAATTAGGTAAAAAACCCAAAATCGCCATATTCAGGTGCCTTAAAAACCATGTTAAAATTGAGTTAGAGATCTGAAACTTTGCAGGGCGTCTAGACCTCGTCCAAATCGACAGTAAAAAAAATTTCATGTTTCAGGAGTATCGGGAAGTGGGTTTTCTGGAACCCCTGTTTTACAACAGATTGTCGTGAAGCATATATATATATGATATAATATAGACGCTTTGGCAGTCAATTGGCAGTCAATTGTAGCCTACATTTAAGTGTCCGTAGATTCAAAAGTATAAAAGATACAGTCATTTTGAACCACAAGTCTTGAAGATAATCGTTTATACTTCAGTTTTCATTATATTGAAAAATAATTTAACGTCATCATAATCACTTGATGACGTCATCAAATTAAGTGTTTTTAAAACTTGTTTTTTGACAAAGTAACAACTTTTCAAATCGATTTTAAACCATTAAGGAGTAATTTTATTCAAAATCTGAGGACAAATTCATCTTAAATAATTGTTCAAGCATTCTGAAAATCTACCGGAAAAGTTTCCTTACCTTGCTCCTTCATAAAGATATTTGCTATTGAAGTTAGTGCTTTTTTGAAGAACAATTTTATAAAAACACAAAAGTTGTGAATTAGTATTCTCTGGTGTTGGGCCATCCCTTGGATTGTGGAGCTCAATTTTGCTTCCTAAAGGTCTAAATTGTGTTATAGGCTAGTTTTAAAGTTGAAAATCGAAAAGTTGCACACGTGGGGTCACGCCCAAATTGATTTAAAATAGCTAAAATCACTAAACATTTTGATTTTCACGATTTTTATCAACTTTGGAGTCCCGTTGTGATTCAAGTTCTTTTTGAAATCTTCTGAAACTTTGCATGCTTATCAAACTATATATTAAATACCACTCTGCAAAAATTTACGGTGATTCAATATTGTATACGCACGCAACGTCCGCTCAAAGTTTGCACGTGCGAAAGGTGAGAATTTTGCTTATTCGTGATTTTGAATATATTCTGCTTTCCCACAACAGTAAAACAATATATTATATGAATTTGATACCAACTTGAAAGAATTTAAATTGACATATTCAGTCAATGATCGATAGATATGCTACCTCAAACACAAGGAAATGTTTTAAGGCAATTTTAAACCGTTGAAATTGCATCCTTATAATTATTAACTTATAACTCATTAATTAAGTTATCAGTTGACCTTGACATTGAACAAAAAGAGATGATCGTTTACCAAAACTCATAATCAATAATTATGGGTATAGTAGGCAAAGGCTTTTTGACAGAAATCTGTTACTGGAAACTGGTGGAAACGCTAATTGATAACCAAAACTAGAATGTCGAGTTCACGCTTTCAAAAACTGTGACGTTCATGGTTTGAACAAATTGAATTCCTTTGCTTATCGACTTACAAAATACTTCCGACAATTCTCACCTACGTCAGAGATAACCTGTTAGTGTTGAATTCTCGTGGGTTGTCTTTGTTAAACTTGTAAAATGAAACCATAGGAACTGTGGTGTTAATTTTTTTAGTACGAATTACGTAACAGCAAGGGTTCTGAGGAACCATATATGGTGAGGATACAGGACCAAAATTTTATAATGTCGTAATATAATTACGCGATTGTGACGCGATTGTGACGTAAAAGCTCTACCAGATTGTTAGCAGACTACGTAGCATAAAGTATAAAAACCCACCTCTCGCCTCAGTGTCACAAAAAAATTTTCAAGTTGTGTCCTTTGTTATAAAAGCTTTGAAATACTTAGTTTGCTCATTTTCCCTTTACTTGTAAGTAATGATTTTTTGGCCTTGTGTCTGTCAAAGTCAAAAATAATTTCACGGCTTCGCATACACCGGGCACCTTCTTTGTCTGCCTCTTATACGTGGCAGAAATGTGAAACAAAATCATATTATTGAAGCTTTCTTGCGACCCTTATAACATTATATTTCATTTAATTGATTTGATTATTTTAGTCTTTGCGTCAGTTATTTTCAGTTTTCCAAATAAATTATTTCATACGGTGATCATGTCACGTGATCGAGACAGCATTTTAAACCTGTGTCCTGTTTGGTGATACGGAATCAGTGTTCAGAAATGTATGTTTTATAAGTTGGTTTCAATTATCGGGGGCCCTTGCACTTTTAGAAAAACTTTATAGCTCGACTGGAGAGTGGCTTAGCTCTAAATGATATCATTGGATCAACTGAAACAAGTTATTACATATAAAGTACTAGTTCTGGCTAAATCGCATTATGGCATCATTTTCTTCGGCTTCCTTGATCATCTTTTTTTGTGATATTGAAAAAAGTTATTCTGGAATTTTATGATGTCCGTTAACGTAATATTCGGTAAAATCACATAAGGATTTGTCCTCTTTTCTCATCCGTATACTGTTAAATATATAAAGATAGGAGGTTTTCAGTAACCAATAATCTATTTTATGTAGTGGATAACATTTGCATCGTGCAATAGCTGACATGTCAGGACCCAGAGCTCAACTTATAACGGCCTTGTCAGAGAGAATAAAAATCGAGGTATGTCCAATTATAATCATATCGACAGAATACTGCATCGTATTTATTTTCATAGCAGACATTTATTATATAGGGATATTTATAATAATTGTAGTTTTTTAAACATTTTGTTCAAAGTTTGTGTCTATGTGTACTCATTGAGTCATTGAGTCTTGCGTAATACTCAAGACTCACGCATAGCAGTTGATAATACAACATTCTATTTCCAATGCTAGAGAGTAACGGAATTCATTACGCATAGTATTACAAATAATGGAGAGCAGTGCAGCTGTGTAAGCTGTCTAGTACAAACTCCAGTGGTTTTAGGCTGGGTGAGTAAACTCTCAACTATATAGATTTTCATTTTATAAGTTATCGTAAATTTAAGGGACCATAGTTATAAGATATAAATCTTTGTATATATTTTGGTCTTGTGTAAATGTAATTGAAATACATTGCAGATGTTAAGCTTCTTTGAATTTTAAAATTATAGAAATACCGTAGTGTTATTGAAACTATCCTGATGGTGTTGCTGTATCCATATTTCATCGTAAAAATATATTAGAAGCTCCTGAATTTTCAGAATATGGACAGTGATATTGATTATTAATTGAATTATTACAACCTCTTTGTCTAAATCAGTTAAGACTTTTTCAAAAAGGTGACACCCGTTTAATTACAATAATTTTTCAGGGGATTGAAAATGAAAACATACTTGAAAATTATGAAAACGAGTTTCCGCCACTTATCAAAGCTGAACTTGCACCTAAACCCCATAATCAGGTTTTTAATGACATAATCACAATTATTTTATCATATTGTTGCACGGTTAATTGGCTGTATTGTTGATAATTATTTTATTTCCCGAAAAGGTATTTTAAGACGTTTCAAAAAAGCATGTTTTACAGGAACTTTGGAGTCAAGTTGTCTCAAATCCAACGCTCATTTATGGGTTGGCATCCTCTGAAGCTCCAGAAAATTGTCATGTCCAAAGGGTGAGTAAAACTGTTCATTCAATGATTACCCCATTTTATTGGATCCTTTTTTATTAAATTCAGGTTGCTGTAGACTAAAACAAAAAATAGATTAGTAATAGTGTCACTCTCGAGTTGATTTAGATTATTAGACAAAGCTTTTTTAAGTCGATGAAAATTACAGGAAAACGAGTACTTATCTGATAAGACGACAACCGGGGTTGGAGTTCTTGTACTGAAACAGAAAAACAGTAAATGTAAAACAACACAAGCTCAGAGATTCAAGGAGAAAGAAAAAAAACAAAAAGTTTGTAACTTAACTTTAATATAAAAAAAGCTTATCAAAGTACGATTAGTTTCTTAAAATTAATGATAATTACAATCAATTAATTTTTACTTTCTATACAATTACGATAAGCATTGGCAGGCCTATAAAGCTAAGGTGAGTAAAAACAAACATGGACAATGCAGAACAGAATCCCTATCATTTGGAATTAATTTACACAACGGATTCGAAAGACTAAGCCTACGAGAACAGCTGTGCAACAATTCAAAAAATGTAAGATTATAATTATTTGCATCCATAACTGTTTGTCTCTGACTTGTAATTAATTATCTGACATTTTCGTTTTATTTAGCTGTATAATTGTGCAGCGTAAATTCATTTTAGGTCGCATAAAATTTACACTTTACCAATACAACATAATTATTTGTCCCGCAGAAGAAAATTGTTTCAAATATATGTTATATTAACATAATATTTACATTAATTATAATATTGTACAAAATTGCAGGAAGAATGTCATTCATACGAAAATAGGACAACAGGGGATGAAGCTGTCGCATCAAAAAAGAAACCCATTAGAAAAACAAAAGCTCAGCGAAACAAAAAGAAAGAAGAAAAACGAAAAGTTTGTAAAATTCATTTTTTGAAATATTTTGATGTTTTTGATTAAATCTTTTTTATGCGCATTCAATGCAGACTAATTGGCACTCCTTCCAAAAGAAATAAATTATTATACGATGTGTAGCGATTGAAATATATCAAAAGGTACTTAAACATCGATATTGTAACGAATTACATGAAGAACAATTTGCAGGCTAAGGCTTTACAGTTAGAGATACAGTTACTAAAGCAGTTTGACGAAATAGAAATTATACAAAGATCAATATCTATCGAAGAAAAAGAAAAACATGAAAAAAGGACTGCAAAAAGAAGAAAGAAAGCAGCTAAAGTAAGTCTAGTCGTGAATTTATTTAAATTTCATAATTATAATTATTTGCATGACCAACTTCTTATATACGACAACTTGGTTCATTTTGAGGTTTCTTATACTTCATTCCCAGTGCGAAATCATCAAAGACATTAGTGGAGGAGGAACAGACAAACAATTCACAAAGAGTTTCAAGAGAAATTCGAAGAGAAAACGAATAGGAAGGAAATATAAAAAGCAAACTTCTGAGTCTTCCGTACACAAAAAAGGTAAGAAAATGTTATAAGAGTTGTGTTTATAAGTTGAGGATATAATTACTTTTACAATGTGGTGATTTTTTGATAGAGCAGCTTTCTGTCCACAGGTCTTATTGATAATTTAGTATTATGATCCTCAATGTCTGACATTAGAAGGCTTTCGTAACCTTCGAGACTACTCGACTTGTTTTAGTTATTATTTTCAATCTACAGCCGCACTTTTCAGCTTTAATTAGAAATATTATAGTTTAACGTGCATGATGCAATCATAAACGTCAAAAAATATTCCACAATTTGTTAATTCTAATTTCCCTTCTTTCACTTTGAAATGTTATTTTCATTGCACATTTTCGAAATACATGCCACTTCTAAACACAAAAATAATCAACACATTGGCCAAAAAGTACGCACTGTACGTATTTTGTAATAATTACGTACGCATATTGTTTGAGCTTAAATTATAATATCCGGTCAATTATTACATATTTCACAGTCTCAATATGAACGTAAATCCTCCATGTAACGATATTTAGCCTTTATCTAATACTTTGCGATTAGAAGGTAAACAAAGTCATTAAAAATAGATTAGATCATGTGGGTGCTATCAATCACATTGCTAGTTGAATTTTATAAGTTTCTGCGCGAATAGCTAGCCTCGCTGCACAGCTGTCGTATGTTAGGCCAAAATATCTTACTACATGTACGCGTCGGTACTTTATTATTTTAAATCCCGAGAATGTGAATATATTTGAGACTCGCACCAAATCTTTTCACCAGCCTGTTTGTTATAATCGTAATAATAATAACGATTATATTCTTTATGCAGTTCATGTGAACAAATTCTGTACATTGTATTTCAGATTTGCCCAAAGAAGACAGTCTCGAAAGCAGCAGGAATTCTTCATTCAAAGATAATCAGAGAGATGATCAGCCTTTCGAAAGGGAAAGTGAAAGACAAAGTTCTCCTTCAGATGATGGAATAACAATGAATGTAGAATACTTAATGAATGAGAAGCAAGATGTTAAGGAAAGTCAAAGACAGAGCTCTCCTTCAGATGATGGAATGACAATGGATGAAGAATCCCTAATGAATGAAGAGCAAGATCCTAAAGAAAGTGAAAAATATCTACTAAGAAAAATGAAGCGTGCATTAAGAAACATTCGCTACCACTCTTCTCCCGGTGGCAGATCTGCGCTAAACAAAGCGCAAAGTAGGTACTTCTCTTCTCCCGGCGGCAGATCTGCACAAAGTAGGTACTTCAATTCTCCCGGCGGCAGATCTTCACTAAACAAAGCACAAAGTAGGTACTACTCTTCTCCCGCCGGCAGATCTGCACAAAGTAGGTACTACTCTTCTCCCGGCGGCAGATCTTCACTAAACAAAGCACAAAGTAGGTACTACTCTTCTCCCGCCGGCAGATCTGCACTTCATAAAGCAGCTAAGAAATATAAATCAGTCCCACATGTGAACGATCGAATGAAGGAAAAACTTCGAATTGTTAGGCAAAAACCAGAAACCAGGCAAAAACGGAAGGATTATGAAGATTCAAAGAAAGAAAAATTATCGCAGTCTAGAAGAACTCGGTATCGCCGAAGCAGATTGTTTGAAGAATTTGGGGAAGATTTTGACGATGACATAGATTATTGCTTGAAAAGGAAGCAGGCCATGAAACAGATAAAGACGCACACGACCCGCAACAATAAAAAATTGCAATTCCTGTTACACAAGGAGAAGATCAAGGGATTCAGAAAAAGTGTCTTCCTCCCTAACCTACCATATGTTTCAAAAAGAGGAACATTCAAATCAAAAACGTTCATGAGGTCAAAGAGCAGGCTTACATGGAAAAATGCCGTTATGCGATTGATGATGGAGCATTTGAATGATCAATTAACCAACAGCATCATTAAAAAATGGTACCCATCTCTCAATTTTAAAGGAAAAACCGACCATTACAAAAAGAATTTTGTCGCATCACAGCTCCAGAGGAGGATTTTGAACAGCCGTGATCTGTGGATCAAAGTTTTATATGGCCGTTGTCATAAGTTGAACTTGACATCGGAGCAGCTTCTCAACAAAGAAAAGTTGGACACATCTGAAGAGAAGCGCCATGACAGCATCCTTGGCTATAAATGTCACAGAAAAGGTACGGAACCTTACTTTCCTCTATACAGCTTTTTCAGTAGGGAGCCATTCACATTTCGGTACAACAAGGCTTCAAAGAAGAGCAGAGAGGAAACGAGAAAAAGTGAAAAATGTACTGCCGACTGCATTCCTGCTGGGGGTTTTGAGGTAACTCGCTTCAAAGACTTCTTGGCAAGATGTAAAAATTTAGAAGTGAGAAATTCCAGAACCTTCGTTCAAGAGTCAAACAAGTGTGGCAATGTCAAAGCAAATGAAATCTACAGCTTGATAGTCGAGCAGCGTAATCACCCTGAAAGCTGTTTAAGGAGGGAGGCGAAGAACAAGTGCTCAAGTGACTTAGTTCTGCTGAGAAAATTGAGTGTCCACTCCAAAAATGCTCGATCTATCTATAAGACTGTGAACGAAATGAAAACAGCCGACCAATTTGTGTGCGACTTGGATACGGCAACTGCAACAGGGGATATCGAGTATTTGATTAAACTAATGCAATACGAACCCCTGATTGCAGAAAAAATATTCAAGGTTGAGAGACCGCCACAAATCATTAATGAGCAGTATATGGAAGACAACTTTCCTAAACAATATTTAGAATTCCTGACTACAGTCAACGCCAACCATACAGTGCCTTGCATTTCTTGTCAAAGGCTGACCGAGGATAATCCTAAGAAATGCAAAACCATAACATCTCGATGGAAGAAGGTGAACATCGTCAACTCAGAATACATGCTTCTTCTCCACTTTCTGCAGTCAGATGAATGGCTTAAAATGGGAGGTGTTTATGTTGACACGTTGGTGGGCAAAAGAATTTGCAACTACTGTCACACTAAAATGGACAAAGGGGAAGTTCCAAGGATATCAGTGAGGAACGGGATGAACGAAGGGATCGTTCCCATGGAAATAGCTGATTTGTCCCAGTTTGAGTGTATGTTCATTCGACAAATTTCAATGTTCCAAACGTTTTTGAAGCTGGGACCAAGTGTTGGAAATCGGCCGAACAATGAAAAAATGGCGGCAGTCAAAGGATTTAGTGTCCACATCCCGGTCCCAATACAGGCGAACGTTGAGCAATTAGCGGGAGGAGTGCCTCATGGACTGTTGAATCCAAAGAATTTTATTGTCCTTCATGGTCTGCCAAACAAAAACAGGAAAGTTTGGCAATCTTTGATTAATGTGGACAAAGTCATTAAGGCAATAAAATGGCTCGTGAAGAACAACCCTCTTTATGAAAAAATAAACGTTCCAACAAAGGGTGAGATTCTTGACATGATGTGTGAGGTTGATAGTGATATTGAAGATGGAGAAGGAGCGATTCCAAGGGACTTCTTTGATAGCTTTGATTGCTCTGACAATAAGAAAGCTCAAGATCCCTCCGATTCATCCTCTGCTACTTCTAGCGCTGGTTCGAGTATCAAACCGTCTACTAAGAGAGCTTGCCATAAGAACAGTTACACGTCTGAAGACATGGACATGTCATTGCCTGAAATGCTACCTGCGGAAAAGAAAGAAGATGTTGCCGATATAAATGACGAATATCTTGACAATTTATGTGAAATGGAAAGCGGCAGCAACGATGATAATTCAAGCAATAGCTCCATATTTTCACTTCGTAGTACATTCACAAAATCAGCTAAATTACCCAATGACTCAACAGACATGGATAGTGAAATCAGTGTTGATGAGGAACCACGCCAATCAATTGACAGTGAAATTAGTTTCAATGAGAATGAGAGCATAGATAAGGGCGGTAATTGTCATATAAAACCGTTCAAGAGCGTGACTAGTGTCGACTTTAAAGATATGGAATTGAGTCTTGACGAAGAAGATCCCTCCTATAAGAATTTATGGAAGTTTTCTGCAACAGTCAGCAATGAAGAAATGGCCCGGATAAAAAATGTCTCTAGTAGTAACAGCAGGAGGAAGTTGATTGCGCTAAAATGTGTGGTGCATATGGCTAGGATGCTAAACAGCAATGGTTCCCTCTGCGTTCGTTGCCATCAAGATGTCAAAAATTACAGAGATAGAGTCATTAATCTGTTGCGATTGGGAAAGAACACACTAGGCTACCAGCTGCTACACATCCAAGCGATCCTAACGTCGTTTTCAAAGATGAGATCAGCATTGCTTGCAGAAGATGACTCGATCAAAACCAACAAGTGCTCCTTCTGTGTCCTAAATAAAGTCTCTAAAAATCCCCTCAAGAAGAAAGCCAGGCGTAACACAAAAGGCAGCTTAAAAACGGTTTCGAATAGCCATCAATTGAGAGCAAGCTGGGGAGCAAAATTCTTTTATAGCACAAAAGTAAAAACTTTGTCCCTGTTAGATTCTATGAAAGAGGAAAGGCAGTTATGTGACGGATGCTACGAGGACGTTGAGAAAAAGTCAAGCAAAGGCATATCACACTTTACGAAACCCTCGCGATCTCTAACACTCAAAATACAAAAAAGGTCTACAGCTTTGTATGACTCGTACTGTGAAGTACAGGGGCTATATGCAAATGCTAATGATAATGAGTCACGTAGAGATGGTATGTGCATAAAGTGTGATCACCATATTTCCCTCTGCCAGGATATCCTCGATAAGAGGTTCGAGGATTTGGAGTTACCTGCTGAGGAAATGAAATGTTCTGAGGTTATCGGCTTGAAAGATAAAGAAGAAACTAGGCTTCTCACGGAGAACTTCCCTGAAAATATTTCTGCTAAAGAAAGGTCCACTTTAAGATCCAAAAACATGTTCTATAGCGACCATATTCTTCGCCATATTGGCACCGCTTTAGTCAAGTCCATCCATTGTCAACATTGCAAGAAACATCTCAAAGCAACTATAGCAGCCTTTAAAAGACTCGCGAAGTACAAGAAGCCGTCACCCGAGAATCAACCCGTAAATCTTGAAGACTGTGATCCCAGTGTACTCCAAAGTTTAGACGTTTTCTACTCTGAGCGATTGGCAAACTCACTTTTACATGGGTGCTGCTTCAAGTGCGAGAATTCACTCGACCTAATTGGAGGCGGAACAGAAAGTAGTGATGATTCCTCTGATATGACATCAGCTTCAGGTTCATCTGCCAAGATTTCTTCAGCAGCAGAGGAGTATTCAAGTCCAAATATTTTCTTCGAGGACGTGAAATCAGATAATGGAGATAAAAAGGGGCCTAAGAAAATGATGGAAGAGATGACTGAGGAAGACTACAAGAACTTAATCGAAGAATTCACTGTCACTGGTATGGATATCCTCGACGATAATCCTGAGTTAATGGATGATCTATACAGATTGTTGAGATTAGATGATGATCCTGTAGATCTGACAGACACAAAGCTGGACCTGCTGGCTTTTCCTGAGATCTTCAGCTGGGGTGTTGGTGGAAGGAAGGGTTTTAGAGGCGAAGAAGCGAAGCCCTTGCAATACGAAAAGTGTAGACTGATGTCCAGCAATGGGCCAACTCGAAGAAATCTACAGCATTTGTTTCACTTAGCAGGTGAGAATGAGCGTAGAAAAATCCGTTCTAGCATCTTCGCCACGCTAAAAAATGTACAAGGCATGGGACACCTAGATGCGGCGACTTTGCTCAACAAAATCAAAATGAAAGATCCAGCATTATTGAAAAGGATAAACAAAGTATTGAGGTTGGTTCCGAACACACAAGCTTATTGGGAAAGTGCCCGCGCAAAACTTAAAGCGCAAATCGAAAAGTTTGGTCCCCCAACCTTTTTCGCCACATTTAGCCCCAATGAGTACGACTGGGAAGACCTAATTCAACATTTAAAAGATGTCAACAGTGACATACCTAATATAGATGACCTGTCTCCTTCTGCTTTGCTGAATAAGGACCCTGTATTGACATCAACTTACATCCACAAAAAGTTTGATGCTCTTTTAAAGTTTATAATTGATGCAGAACCTTTGGGGAAAGTCAAGTCATACTTTGTGAGACATGAATATCAATCTCGAGGTACTATTCACTTTCACACATTTATTTGGATTGATAAAAGTCCCCTGATCGGCAAAAGTTCTGATGCGGAGGTTGCAAGCTTCATCCAAAAACACATCACTTGCAAACTCCCTGATCCAGTGAATGAAGCAACATTGTTTGATGTAGTGGGTAGCTACCAAAATCATTCGTGTAGACCGTATTGCTTAAGAACATTTAAAAAGACCAAAAATCCTTCAAAGACCAACAAAACTAGTTCAAAAACGCAAGTCGCC